GTTCGGTAGTGCAGTGTAAGTGGGTGTTACGTAAAAAGTACGATAGTGAAAACAATGTGCGTTACCGTGCTCGTCTAGTCGCAAAAGGCTTTACTCAAAGACATGGTGTAGACTATACAGAAACATTTTCGCCCGTAGTGAGACATACAACCCTTAGACTATTATTTGCACTGTCTGTAAAATTAGGTTTACATGTTAACCACTTAGATGTCAAGACTGCGTTCTTGAATGGTGATTTAGAGGAAACCATTTTTATGAAAGTGCCAGATTGTTATAATAGTTGTAATTCAGTTGGTAAAGTATTGAAACTTAAAAAGGCTATTTATGGACTAAAGCAAGCCTCTAGAGCTTGGAATACAAAAGTTGATAATTGTTTGATCAATAATGGTTACAAAAGGTCAAAAATAGAGCCATGTATGTATATAAAGAATGTAAACAAATGTAAGACCATTGTAACAGTCTATGTTGACGATTTCTTTATATTTTCCAAAGATGAAATTGAAACTAAGAATTTGAAGCATATTTTATCTAATAACTTTTGTATTAAAGACTTAGGTGAAGTTAAATTATGTCTTGGAATGAATGTAGCTTTCAATAAAGATAATGGATATGTAACATTGAGTCAGGAAAACTATATTGATCAACTTTTAAGCAAATTTAATTTAACTGATTGTAAAACTGTTGATACTCCAATGGAGGTTAAACTAGACATAAATAAAGGTCAAACAGGTGTAGGTAGTAATGTGCCCTATCAACAACTGATTGGCAGTCTGATGTATTTGTCAGTGTTGACTAGGCCAGATATTAGTTACTCTGTAAGTTTTCTAAGTCAATTTAATAATTGTCACACAAAGGAACATTGGGAATATGCAAAGAGAGTATTGAAATATCTGAAAAGAACTAAATCTTATGGAATAAAATATTGTAAACAAGGTAATTCAGAAATTACAGGCTATGTAGATGCTGATTGGGGCTCTAACTCTATAGATAGGAGGTCATATACTGGTATGTGTTTCTTGTTGTTTGGTGGTGTAATATCGTGGGAATGTAGGAAGCAGAAATGTGTAGCACTCTCTAGTACTGAATCAGAGTATGTTGGTCTATCTGAAGCATGTAGAGAAGCATTATACCTGAGGGAATTACAATATGAAATAACCGATAAGATGTACACAATAAGTTTATTTAATGATAATCAGGGCGCACAGAAACTGTGTGCAAACCCAGTATTTCACAAACGTACAAAACACATTGATATTAAATATCATTTTTGTCGTGATCTAGTGAAAGATAAAGTTGTTAAAATATTGTATCTGCCTACAGCTGATATGCCAGCTGACATTTTAACTAAAAGCTTATGTTCAGCAAAACATTATAAATTTATGTTGTTTCTTGGTATAGTTCGTATAGAATGATTTTGTATGAAATTGTTTAGTGAATATTGCGATAAGTGGGGGTGTTATTTTTAATCTATATTTTGTATCGACAATATCACAAAACGGAATAACAGCGCCATCTATCTCATAGTATGTAATACATTCTCGTTTGAAATAAATTAGTAGTTCATTGTCTGTTGATCAAGCATTTTCATTTTATAATATGCTGTCGTGAGGGTCGATGGTGAAAAGAGGCGGTAGGTATCGATTAAACATTCCTCAAAGCACTCTCCGTGGTGTAAGCGATAGAAAATGCACAACAAAGTAACATCTCTACGCATTGCCACAAAGAGTCTAGCTGGTTTGCAACATCCCGACATCCAACAACGATTCTGGTCGAGCCGACCCATTCATGCCGAAGCATGACTCTCCCTCTGAATGATTGTGTATGTTAAATTATTGATGGATGAATGAATATAAATGGTCTCCTGACCTATACTAAAAGATTAAGCTAGCTTCTAACAAGTAACCTTTCGATATAGCTGTGGATTCGAAAAGTCATCGAAAATTCTAGACGCTTTTGGCGACACCAATTTGTAATTCTAGGTGAAGACAGAAAGGATTTGGAAATCCTTCCTAATTAAGGAATGTGAAAGTGTATTTCTTTAGTTTTTCACGTCATAACGAATCGGTTTTCGACGTACGATATTTGAACACTGGAGATTAATATATGCTACATTTTACCTTTGACGTATTTCCGGACCCCGTGGCATTACTAAGAATATTTGACAAGCGAAAAATCCAGATAAATGTGAATCCCTATGTAATAGATTAGGCTTGATGTGTCCACAATGAATTCAAGAAACTGAGGAAATAGGCGGGAAAAACACTCACTCCTTCAACGACTCAACGTTTTGGCGGCCATTGTTGGCGCGGACTTCGATTTTTGAATTGAAGCGCGAACACACTGTTTTTCTTTATTTTTTTTTCTTCTATGGCAATTGAGTCTCCACTATTTAGTAGTTGACTATTCTGCCAGCGTCATGTGTTACGGCAGGTGAGGGCATTACAGATTATGTATTTAAATAAAAAAGGGACAAAACATAGCATTTATAAATTGTAATTGTAATTTTCACAATAAATATTGCATGCTAAATGGCAGAATGTAGTTGGTCAAATTATTTTATAATAACTAGTTACTGTAACATCAACACTTGACCTATATTCGCAATAAACGATTTGAATTTGGAATTTGAAAATTTGACATTTAAAGCATTATTATATTAGGCACTCTCATTATACATTAGATCTTAATATTATTTTTAGTAATGAATTTTGCCAAAATGTTATGGTAAAAATGGGTTAATAGTGAGTGAAAATTAATTGGGAGAGGGATTTTAATACTAAGGAGTTCTCTATAGAGGTCTAAATATTGGGAGTTTATAGAGATCGCGCTACAAAGGAGGTTTTTATTTTTAACATAGAGTGGCCTACACTATGAATTCTCTCCTACGTCAAATGCATTCAAATTAGTTCAGTAATTCGTGCACTAAGAACGAACCGTGTCGATTACTTTAAACGACAAATTCGTACTAAAAAACACACATACTAACAAATCACATTCAAATGCTTCTTAGGAAGGATATTCTAGAATCAATTACATATGCAGTTATTTTGCCATATACATCCGTTTGTAACTTCCAGTTGACCTGTGAGTATTTCGCAAGGATTTAGAGCCTAGCCTACGATGTGTTAAGCAACCCATCTTAAGAATTAAGCAATATATACTTAGGTACTGTGATGAGAAGCACTTATAATACTTAGGGCTTTAGATAGGCTATTTACTGAAGATATTCTTAACAATAGAGTCATTGTGTAATATCGTAGCCTACAGTGAGTACTAGCGTTTATCTTTATTAACACTAATTGTTACACGCTGCATTGCTCATGTGAATAAAGGAAAAAAGGTAGTCACTCTCTCAACCTCCAAATTATCTCTAGACACAATTTATATCTACTATCAACGTCACCATCATTATCATCAACAGCCTATAAATGTCCACTGCTGAGCAAAACCTCTTCTCACACGGAGAGGGTTTGAGCATTAATCACCACGCTTAATCAAGGAGGGAAGCCGATTTCAAACTTATAATAAAAAATTATAAGTCTAGGTTTCTTTACGATCTTATCCTTCACTTTTTGTTGTTGTTTCTATAGTAACAAATTATGGTTTAACTTTGATAAAGTCAAACTTTGACTATATAAAATTTACTTTTATACCCGATATTCATACCCTTTCTTTTTTAAATGGGACAAGCCCGCCACAACCTCCCAAAACCGCTGAAACTCCTGTAAGCCAGGATGTACAGTAGATACAACCATGAAAACACCGGAACATTGAAGTCCGGCGCGTCCCAGGGACATGAGTAACTGTCTTGGTTCCCGCAACGAAGTGAATCAGAAGATATTATAAAAGGAGAAGAAGAAAAAACTATAGTTTCCACTTTCCTCGGTGAATTACTGCAGGAGACAGAACGAATTAAGCCTAAAGGCACAAAGAAGAGACTGTACAACTGGGTGAAGCCCGGTCGCCAAGCACCACGGAAATTTGACTAAAAAACTAAGTGGGTCCTATGTGTGAGCTGTTAATTTTCATTCATACCGTTGTCCGTCGTGGTGGCCCGGAGGTTTAAGACGCCCGCTTCTCATGCATAAGGGGGCGGGTACGAAACCTACCAACGTAGTACAAGTACCAATGTGACTTTTTCCGAATTACATGTACTTTCTGAGATTCTATTCTCTAGACACCACTGACAAAAGTGAAGGAAAACATCGCGAGGAAACCTGGGCTTATAATTTGTAATTATAAGTTTGTAATCGTCAACCCGCATTGAGCAATTAAGCGTGGTGATTAATGCTCAAACCTTCTCCGTATGAGAAGAGGCTTTGGTCAGCAGTGGGCATTTATAGGCTGTTGATGATGATGATGATGATTCATACCCTTCGAGAAATTAAAGGTGGCATTGAGATGAAGTACCTACATCACACCGATTCTCCTTAACATATAACCTGTCGTAGAGCAATTATAGTGTACAATTGCAGGGCTCAAGAATATTAAACTGTCAAACACCAAGCGGTCACCGGTGACCGCAACCTATTATTCTATAATTGTGTCTATAATGACGGTACTCGACGAGATAACTACATAACATTTAGACATTGACGCCCATTTTCATTATCGTCTCCTAAATTTTAAGGCACCCGTAAAATAAGATAGGTGTCGGGATACCTTTTTTATGGGATAAACCGGTAAACTAGCAGACGGATCACCTGATGATAAGCAATCGGTGCCGCCCATGGACACCTGGAACACCAGAGGCGTTACAAGTCCGTTATCAGCCTTTTGGAGATTACGAATTTGAGGATTACTGGGGATTCGGGAATAGGGGAGATTGGGGAAGGGGTTATTGGGCCTCCGGTAACCTCAGTCACACGACGAAACCCAACGCAAGCGTTTTTTCTCGTGTTAAGCACCACCTCTAGTCTTGCAGGTATCTACTTATCATCAGGCGGACTGTAATCCTTATTGGTACTGTAATATTATAAAAATTCAAAAATATGACTCACCAACAAAGCAATATGGGGTAGGTACAGTGTGTCGTTTTCCTGGTTTCCTTCAGACAGTTCTTCTACCCAAGTTAGAGGGTGCTTTGGGATCGCTGATAGGGTCGCGTTGTCGTTGAATTTCGTAACTTTATGTTCCAGAGATTCTCTGTAAAAGATAAAGGTGTTTTAGGTTATCGGACATTACGTTGTGGTTATGGTTGGGCTAAGTGACCGTCTGATGGGTTTCAAATATTATATCATAAGTTTTAATGTGTAATTCATAAAGTTAATTTACACACCCATGACATAGGGGAAAAGTGCTGTGGGGTGTGTCTTATAAGTTTTAAAAATAAACTTAGTATTTATGGTGATGCAAACTGTCGGCGCTTTAGTATGGCCAACGACCATAGAGGCGGCGACGCGCGGGACGGGGGCATAAAAAGCCACGGCCGCGTGAGCGCCGCTTTTCTTCATCCACACACTCCGCTAACTCACTCACGCCATAGTTTTCGGGTATTTTATTGTGTCGGTGCGCGCCGGTCTTGATTCTGATTTGTAATGAAACCTAATTTATGTGCAGTCTTTTGTTTTAAACCAAAATTTTGTGTATGTACACAAAATTTCAGCTCAATCGGTTGAAGACATGTGCTTTAAAATCCTGTTGCAAGATTCCGCTTCACACACCTACATTCATACA